AAAAGCACAGAGACAGTTGACCATGTGACTCGTCCAGTGTCTAATGATTTAAACATCTCATGGCTATATCTGTAAGCCATTCCACACAAAAGCTTCTTCAGACAACGTGGCCAAGAATGTGCCGCAAATATGCTTCCTCAGTCCTTTTTCTAGACTTTACTGTCTTTGCTTTGAAACAGGACGGTAGTTCTTATGGGAGCGAGGGAGCTGCAGATGGGTGTGGATAGCGGATGTATGTTTCCGTTTGACCGTGATCAAGGAAAACAGAGACTCAAAGACTAGATGTGGTTTTTCATCTGTTCATAAAAGGAGGCCCTGGTGGATGAATCAGATCTTTATTCTCTCTAAAGAGTGGCACTATGATGTGTGCCACATTTTTGTGTGCTTTCCTAGAACGTAAAGGGCTATTTCAAGATATATTATTGCACTTACATTAACTTGGAGGACTTGTGCGGCACATTTCAAATTGTCGACGCAGCAGAGTCTAAGATATCGTGACTTAATGGGTCAAGCTTAAAAGATGGTAGATCCCACAATTCCCATAATGCAGCTTGTTTAATTTTCCTTTAACCCGCCCTATATAAACGCCCACGTCTTGGGATAATGATAACCAGGGTTACAAAGTTGCTAGAGCCACAGAAGACATTATACAATTGATCAAACAACTATGTACTTCCATGACCAGTAAACAGATTTTTTCTTTTGTACATCAGGCTTTCACTCCTTAATTTCCTGAGTCAGAGCTTTCTTTCTGTACCTCTGTCACCCTCACGCTCTGCCTCATCTCCTCATGATTCATATGCACACAGCCATACCCAGTGTTGGATCCACCAGCCATACTGGTTGGTGGCGAGATGCATCAAGGAAGAGAGCGATGCCGGTGCTACAGCTTCGAAACAGGGAACTCCGAGGGAAATGATCAAGCTTGTAGCTGGTTACGTGGTGGAGAGAACATCAACTTTAGAGTCTCAATCTCTCCGTAAGATCATTAATAAAAAACCCTATGATCCGTAACATGAAGGGAACAGTGCCTGACATTTGCTAGCTACCGCGATATGATAAAGAGCTGTAAAGGGGATATTGCCTCTGTCAGAGTTACAGATGCCGTAGCCGAGGTTATACAATGGCGGTAGAGGCAATACATTCAAACGGTACGTGTACAGTAGACTACGCGCCCTCTGGACAATCAAACCAACATGCAAGAACAACATGCATTGGATAGCTGTATCTGTGTGTTTATTTCTTTTAATTCCTTCTCCCACTCAGATATTTGCTCCCTGTTAAGGGGAATAATGCAGCATTTTAACATGTAATAATATTTTGAACATAAAATTCAGTCAGTCAGAATTCTCTGTTGTGAATGTGGCACTACGTCATGTTTCTACTTCTTGCAGAAACTTTGATGAAATTAAAATACACTTGGGTGATGTATTCAGCACATGTGCTCCATACATTAGCCTCTGCATTCATCAGAAGAAAGAAATGTGCTTATTTATGCAGAATCTTCTGCTCTCTAGTCCTTGTATTCTGCCTGATGAACTGATTAATTATCAATGAGCAGTATGAGAATATATATATATATGTATATTAAAAGAAAACTGCTTTCTTGAACAGAAAAGCATGGTAGCTAGTAGCTTCTTCAGGGATCTCATTTGCTATGACTTCTGCTGATGTGGGTTTTTTTCACATGATGCCGTCTTCAGCGACTCTTTGGCTGCAGTCCGCCAGAGGAAAGACCCTTTGACCCCACTAGTCACACAGCACGATATCGCATCTCTGCTGCTGCACACCTCTACGCTGATGACGCGGCAAAAGCTGCACGATCAAGGTTAATGAAAGTCGAAGCAGTGTAAATCGTGATCCTTTTTATTTTTCTCATCCACATTAAAAGAAAGAGTTAGTATGATCATTTGTTTGTGACTTTTTGGAGGGAGTTGGAAACCACTGGCCTAAACTACCAAACTGTATTTAAAGGAGAATGTCCTCTCAAGAAATCATCAGCAGTCTCAGCAGGTACCCCAGAACTAGATATCGTCACGTTTAAGGAGGAAGTCCTCTAGCGGCCGTTTGACAGGAGCAAAGACGGAGAGTCAAGAGACTGTTGGAAAGTGACAGCCTAACCTGAACAAGTCATGTTTGTACCTGAACCTAACCAACCCGGCTCCAAATATTTCTTCCACCATTGAACAAAGGATCTGTGCTTATTCACACACATACACAGAAAGCACATTATTAACTGCATGTCTGAACACCATATTCACATACTCGGCATAATGTTTCACAGCCCTGCAATGCTGCAAAATGCAGAGGCCACAAAGACTGCACATATGGAAATTGTATGCAGCCAGAAGCCAATACTCTCATGCACCCCGATTCAAATCAATGTTGTATTATAAGTGCAGACTAAATAAACAACACAAGCCAATAGCACTCAGACCTGAACTCACATCAGACTACAGCACCAGCTTGTTAGCAATTATGGCAGAGAGAGCCGAAGACATAAGCGAGCACTGTAATTGTATTCTGGAGGGAATGCATCGAGGCCGCTGCGCTCGCTCATCCGTCTTCAATACTGACGCATGGAAAGATGAGAGGAGAGAGAGAGAGGCAGCATCCAGGGCTTGTCTCCGCCTCGTCAGTCACGTTGACACCTGGAACCGCTCAATCTCCTTACCTGGAGGAGGACAGACTGGCGTGTGTGTGTGTGTGTGTGTGTGTGTGTGTGTGTGTGTGTGTGTGTGTGTGTGTGTAAGAGGGACGGTTGGACAGAGAGGATGACAGGAAGCTTGACAAAATGGATGAAAGGAAAAAAATTGAGAAAAGTTGATATGCGGAGAGGGAGTGTGAGTGACAGACGTAGAGGTTGGAGGAAAGTGAAGCCATCGTTGGAGTTGTTGACAATGACGCTATATGCTTTACATAAATACACACACACACACACATACATATATTTATGTTATCAGTCATTTAATATGGAGAGTTTTTTTTACTGTGTCCCCTCACAAATAATCCCCTTGAACACCTTAAGCACGTGGAACTTTTAAAAAATCCAGCCGCACGTAGCCTGTTGGTTGTCAGATTATCTCCCACCAGAACAAGCGCTCCCGCAAAATGCAAATAGGACAATTTTTAGGACAATGAGCGGAAGCATTGTGAGCGGAGACGGTAGGTAGGCAACAGAACGACTCTCATCCTAAAAGAAGTCCTCTGTTTTTTTCAGGCAGATCTATTTTTTGCTCAAGTAAAAAGCTCACCTGCAAGCTGAGTGTTGGAGCAGTAGACTTTATTCCTCTATTCATTATTCATTACTCGTACAAGCTCTTTTTTAGAAGTTGTAGATCCAGCTATATCCCCGCTGAAGATACTTTCTCCTCAAGCCTATGTGCTGCCATGTGGGATGAAGATGTGGAGTGAGCCTCCTGTGCAGGAAGAGGAAGCAGACGGGATCTTGCTGCACACAAAGTCATTTTTCGGATTTAAGGCTGCGTACACACAAAACACACTGCACATTTTAACCACAAATACACACAATATGTAGAGGTTACATTTTCCTACCTGTCAACTCTTTTTCTGCGAATACACAGATTTCTGTTGAGACAAAGATTTTGTAATTCCTCTGACGAATCCTCACCCTCTGGTGAGAGTCATGCCAACGTTGTAGTGCAGCACTCTGCATATGGCAGCCTGAGTGTCCTGATTTTGTGCTCAATGAGTCCATGCTTATGACATTTTACCTAGCAACACCAGCAGGTCAAAAGCTTTCATTTATCTAATTAAATATCTCCAAATATCTTTGTTTCCAAATGGTGTATCCTACTGACTTGCACCATCAGAACCTGAAATGGAAATGTCGCATAAACTATTGGATGAGTTGCTATCGTATAGGCCTTTTTCTTCACAGCAGTCATTTCCACATGTCATTGCAGGGCAAACACAGGTGCAATTGATCAAATGAATTATGTACCTGTAGTATTTAGTGTGTCACAGCCAATCCAGTGAGCTAGCATGCACAATGCTAGGGCCCTAACCCACCTAAATGCAACAGGGCCATAATTACACCTGTGTTTACCTTTCAATGACATGTCACAATGGCTGCTGTTAAACGAGCCTATTAGGGATGTGTCTTTTGGTTGACAGATCATTTTGCTCGAACGTGTCCTTGCTAATAACACCAGCATGACAGAAAAGCCTGACCCGCGGTGTCAAACCTGTTTTCAAGGCACGTATGACATCATTCACATAGAAACAACATGACAGCAATGACCGATAGGATCGATAAAACTCAAGGCAACCCTGAAGATAAGAGACAAAGAGAAAGTAAGCTGGGGCCAACATATATATTCGTTATACTAAACCTGCAACACAGAACAAAGGGGGCTTCTAGAAGAAAGGAGAAGGAAAAAGAGTGTCTTAAAAAACAGATTCAACCAAAACACAGCAACACATCCCCTCGTGTGTTACATTATTGGTTAACTACACCATAAAAAGCCACATCCCCCACTAACACTCATACATGCAACCATTCAAACATATAGTCCAAAAAGCGTAGAGACAATTGTAATAGCTGCATGACTGTCCCCCATGTCTCTGTGTGTCTGTGTGTGTGTGTGTTGGGTGTGTGTCACTTTTGGCCGTCAGCTTTCTTGTTTTTTTCACACGTTCTCTTCTGTAGATTTTGCTGAAATAAATAATCGTTCTTGATCCTTTTTGTCACTTTTGTACACTGTGGTTTTGTCAGCTGTTCTGTGCTGTACATCTTTACTTCATTGTTTCATTGTCTGTCGGTGTCTAGACGGACAAGAGAAGCAGACAGAACAGAGCAGGTAGACAGAAGACCTGGCCCTGCACACAATTGGTAGCAGAGTGAGAGAGATCATGCAAAAAAAAAAAAAAAAAAGGGTCAACTTCTTACCACTAACCCAGGCAGCCTGGAGAAGAGGTCAGAGCTCACCACGGATGCAGCAGCAACCTCACTCTGCGTTTTCTCCTCCTTTCTGCAGCGATGACCTTTCTCCAGACTCGTCTATTGGGGAGGAAGGGAAGGGAGGAGAGGGGGAGCTGCAGAGTGAGGTCGAGTCACAACCGCAACCTCAGCCCGAGCAACAGCAGCAAGAGGCTGAGCCACAGATTCATCCGCCACAGCCTCAGTGTGAGCCCCAACCGCAGACTCAACCTCAGCCCCTGCCTGAAACCAATCCTCAGCCGGGATCTGAACCCAAATCTCATCCTGCACCGGAGCCCGAGCCCGAGCCTCAGCCTCAGCCTCAAGTCGAGGTTCCGAGCGAGGAGGCGGCACAGGACGCCCCTGAAGCCCCTTCACCTTGCAGAGAGGAGCAGGTGGTGGTGGAGCAAGAGATGGAAACGCTGGAAGAAGTTGTGGAGGCAAAGAGAACGCAAGAGGGAGAGGAGGCACAGGCCGGGCAGCGTGAGGGCGAAGCAGCACAGGAAGAAGATGAGGAGGAAGAAGGGGGAGGAGCAAAAGGAGGTGGGGTGGGGAGGAGAGCCAGCCTGCACCACACGGCATCGCCCTTGAGGGTGCAGCGCAACGGGGCCGGCTCACACTCCACCACCTCCGACTATGAGCTCTCGCTTGACCTCAAAAATAAGCAGGTAGGGTTGTGTTGGGGATGGGGGAGGGTTGGTGTGTTGTTTGGGTGAGGGGAGCGGGAGGGCGGCAGGTACAGTAACTTGGCTTGTGTGTATTGTACGTCTTGTGGTCTGACATGTTTGTGATGTTCCTGTCTGAAGAGGAAACTTGTGTTTTTGGGAGAGAAGCTGGTGTTTGATGAGATTTTTTTTGTGGTTTTGTTGTTCGTTGCATTGATCCCTTTTGGCACTTCTAGACTGTGTCAACTAATGATGAGCTTCCTTTTCTTCATTTTCATGAACCATCATTGTCATGTCATCATTTCATCATCATCCATACATGATTTCGTCTCTCACCAACTTTGGATTGTGAGTGTATGTCTTCTGAAAGTACCATAGAATTTTTTACGACCATATTTTACTGCTGTGTTGTAATTTACTGGAAGTAGAGCAACTCATGTACATTAAGTTTCATACACTGTGTATATACATACGTACACGTACACACATCAGGGTAAAATAAAGACAATGTGCAAAACAAATTGCGTTTGTATCTGCATGAATGGAAAGCCTTTTCGTTTGTCTTTTCTCTGCTGCTGTATGAGATCCTCTGGATGATGAAAAGCCCTCATTTCCATGAAGAATAAAAGCATGTGACTGTTATCTGTTCTCATCTTGTTGCAGCCCAGTTAAACTGATTTTGTCTGAAACCGATATGTCTATGAACTGTGACTGTATTTAAACATGCATTTCCATGTTCTCATGTTTGTGCTCTTATCACGCTGTTCATCAGGGGAGTTGGAAATCATTACATGATCATCTCCATTTCAAGAACCATCAAACATTCGCCACTCGTTTTCATTGTCATCCATCTAACCAACATTCTCCAGTCCATGGATCTTCAACCAGGTAAGGCAGCAGACTTGTGGGGCACACTTGTGGGGGCTCGGTCTGCGCTCCTGATCAGTTTTCTGCAACTCAGATCTTCTTTGCGATGCATACTATTATTAGAGCTTAATCATTTTCATAATCATTTAATATTTTATTTTGCACATGAAGTTCAGTTTTCTCGTCACAAGCCTGACAAAGCAAAGTTGTGTAATTTCCATGTGTTTGAAGAAATAACCCTCATGATGTCATAATGATGTCATCGGGGTTGTCTTGGTCTGGACTTGACACCTACACTTTTTAGCAGACTGTTTGCATTACAAAGTGTGTGGTTTGTAAAGAAGTAGGCATTTAGGAGGCAGCATGGGTCTAATAAAATGCTGTTATGTTGCATTATGGGAAATGAATGCTCCAGTGTTTTTCAGTCAGTATATTTCAGCCTCTGCTCATTTGTTGAATCTTTTTTTTATTTGTCTTGTGTGCATGCCACAACTGTATAGATTGTTAGAGTCATTTTCCAGCAGAAAAGCCAAGGTTTTACAGATTCCAGCTTCTCGGTTGTGTGGATTGGCGCAGCTTTCCTCTGTTTTATAACATTTAAATTGATCATCTTTGGATTATGGACTGTTGGGTAGGATATTACAAGAAATCGACCTGAGCTCTGGGAAATCAACAATGGAGATTTCTCTCAGTTGCAGGCCTAAATATACCGATTGCACATCATGCATGTTTCTTTTGTCAGATTTTTACAATTTTATTGGATTAGCTGTTTTCTTTCTGAGGCACAAAGGTTGCTGAAGTCTCCGGTATTGACTTCCATTACTATTACTGTAAGTATAGTGTGGCTTACTCAAACTCAATGGACAATCAACAACCCAGAACAATCGGTAAACATAGTCGCCCTGGTTTTAAGTGTTTCTCAGCCTCAGGGCACCAGACTGTGAAGATACATCACAATCCAAATGACACTGATAGTGTCAGAGGTGACCCTCTCAGTGTCATTTGGATTGTGCTCTTCTTTGTCAATATTTGTTTCAATTTCAATTCAACATACAAAAATGCAAGATGAGCTGAAGCATTATCGCTGATGTTTGCTAAAGTCCATCATCCAAGCAACCAATGAAACCAATTATTTTGAGTGGGACGGTTGCTTTATATTTCACTCTGTCGGCTCCATCTTCATTCAGTCCTTTCCTCACTCATCACTTACTTATTCGATACTAAAGGTTCTTTTAACCTCAGCTCCTTGCCTGTGTCTCCCTCTCACCTCCATTCTCCCTCCTTTTAATCTCACATCTCTCCCACTATCTCATTGTCAACAATGCTGGAGATACGCGATCAGCTAGATTGATCTTGTGTCTGTACAGTCGGGGGTGCCGGGGCTTGATGCTTCAGCAGATCAATGTCAGGGTAATTGGATCTGCGAGGCGATACCTTGATTGCAGTGGAGGAACCTCGTGATGAAGTCTCTAGTTCGACCACACCTAAGGCACAAAGGTTATGGTTTGCAGAAGAAAAGGCAACAACTCTAAACTGAGTTACAATTATATATTATATATTTTTTACAGCTGTGTGATTAATAGGAAAACAATTGGAGTCAGTGAACTCTTTGACCTCCTTCGTGAACAAAATTATGTTATATGTTCATCAGTATGGCTGTTGATAAAAACAAAAGTTAATGTAAATCAGTCTCACAAAAACGCAGCATGATGAGGAACATCGTCAACAAAATAAAATCTTCACAAAAAATTATGTGATCTCACATACAACAATCTGAACTCCTTTTAAATAGTTTTTTAGTGTTTCTCGGATGATCTGCACTGTCATCCGAGTCTCTGAGTCTATTAAAACTCTCCAGCAAAAGCCTTAGGAACACTACACTTCTCCCTGTTTGTAAAGCACGGACACATTTACTCCGAATGGAAAAGGTTTTGGTAAAGAAAGCATTGCAGGTTCAATCTTCGCAGACTGCACGGCCTTTTGTTTTCTCGGAACGATGAAGCGATAGGTGATTAGACCTGACTTGAAGCGGCTGTTCCTGCTCTGTAATTGCTGCTAATCTCTGCTTGAGTAATCGAGGTACCCGTGAATCAACATGCATTTATCTCCATAAAGTGAAACATGCAAAATGGCGAAAAGTTAAATTTGATGGCACTCATAAATGCCACTTAAATGCGCAAGCGACACGAAGACAAGAAATATCAAACAAGCAGCTTGTCCTAAAACTGCTGATGCAATAAGGCACGGATTCGCAAATATGATGACATTGTTCATTAGGTTGCTGCTGTATCATCTCATGTTGTTTTTTGCAACACTAACGAGACTGCGTTTCTTTCTGCGTCAGAATTAGTCTTTCAGTAACCGCCGACCTTTTTCACAAACTGACTTTGGTCAATGATGTCTCAGCTTAACTGATCACCATCCTCTGATGACATCAAGCCCTTTGTTGTCATCCTCATCTTGTAATACAGTCAGCGTTAGTTGTGTCCCAGTTTTGCTGTTATATAATCATCTCATTAATCATGCAGATGTTTCTGTGCTGTAAGACAAGTGTGCATGAAGGCTAATAATCGTGGCTTTGCATTTTGCCTCTTATTTCTGCAGCATGTTAGATCTGATAAGCTGCTGTTTTACTCACGCACATCGGCCCTTTTCTCACAAATGTAAAGGAGAAACTAAAAGATTATGGCTAAAAAAAGGACATGCAGTGCATTGTTCCCACTGGACCGCCATGTTGTCATGTTCCTGTGGCATTGATTTTTCTTTTAAAGGAATAGTGTGACATTTTGGGAACTACTCCTGCTGAGCGTTACCACGCTTCTCATCTAACTCCATGTCTAAAAAGCAAATAAGAATATTTTCCAAAATGCTTCAATTGGTAGTAATTTGTTGCTGTTTGCCTCAGAGACAAACAACCAAACCACAAGCTAGTATTATAAATAATTAGCAATTAGTATTCTACATGATATGTAATCTCGTAAGGCTTGAAAAGAGGAGGAAGGGAAAAAAAATCTTGGCACATGACTAAATATGCTCCTTGAAATCATAAAAAAAACATGCTGTGTATTGTGCTTTTGGTTGACCTTTTGTTTTGAGACACGTTTTTGTTTAAGGCGCAAACATTGCTGGACTAAAACAGATTCCTTTTTCCAGAGCCGCTGGGTATTAATATTTCATGCATAGACAGAAAAAGTCCCATATTTCAAGCCACGATAACAACCATCACCATCTGATGATATCTGAAAATCAGCCTCTGATGTGTAGCCTATTTGACTTCACAAGTTTTAGAGATCTGCTCCTTTCGTATGTCCTTGATTTCAAATATGTCCATGTGCCATCGCCTTTATTCGTCCTTTCTTAAAGAATTACACCTTTTCCTCTCAGTAGTATCTTGCTATTTCTAAGTATCATGTAGAATTGCACACTGCAGCGTCGTACCACTTTGCACTGGTTTTGTTTACCACCGTTTTCCCCCCTCGTTCAAAGGGGAACACGAGGTCAGCATGGTGCTGATCTGCCCGTCAAAATTGATTTAGACCTTTGGTGGAACAGAGCAGTGCCATCACTGTGCTCTCGAAGCACTGCCTCTCCGGAATAATCTCTCTCCATCAGCACTTAGAGAAGTGATCAGAGGTAGAACTGACAGTCGGCTAATGCAGTGCCACTCTTGGCGCGGCCATCCGTCTCATCACCTCTTTCTATATCTTCTTACCTTCCCATCAATGCACTTGTTTTCTTGTTTCTTTGGTGCTCTGATCATCCATCTTTCTTTATCTTGCCCTTTTTTTACATGTAGTTCTCTGTACAGCGGTCAAGTGGCAGCTAGGGATGTGCATGCACACGTTTTATGCCATGATTATTGTGGCCATAAATATCAGCACACGAATCATCAAACAGAAGCCCCACCTCTACTCCAGCATCCACCTGTAGGCTCTGAGTCAAGCTCTGTATGTAGAAGTGTATTTATGACAACATGAAGACAATGTATAGTGTGGGAGGCAATGAACCTATACAGAGGACGATCACCCAAAATTGCAGCTCCCCTCGGCTAAATTTGCATCTTCGCATCACGTGGAGTTCAACTTTGGTGAACTTTGACCGCTGAAGTCGTAGCCTTAACAAATAGCAAAGAAGTGTGAGTGTTTGACCCCACTAAGCACCGCCCACCTTCAGCATGAACTTCACCTCAAACTGTATGAGCATGTGTGACCGTGACCTTATATTTTTAGCTCATTGATTAGCTGTTGGCTCGCAACTTTGGAGTTTTCAGCAAAAGAAAAAGCTCTAAAATCCCACAGTACATTACCTGCTCAGCACCAGACGGCAGACAGACACAGTTAGTGACTAGCCGGGAGACATAGTGAAGCATTTAGCAGCCAAAGTGTCAGATATTTCCCTAAGGAGTTGGTAGAGACCAAAAACCGAAGCTAAAAGAGAGTGAATATTGGATGTATTTTGTAAGTAATGATAGAAATTGGTGAAACATTCTGATGGTAAAAAAAAAACCTCCAACAAAGAAGTTGAACCAGAAACAGCACATCTATAGTCCCAACACAATCTTAGACTGGCATGAAATCCTGTCCCATTTCTTTACTGTGTTCTTCCTCTCTCCATCTATCATGTCCCAGCTCGTACTGGTTGGCTGTAATCCGAGTGGCAAAGTGTATCAGATACACACTCTGACAGAAAGAAAGCAACGCGACCCAAATGCTTTATTCATCGTCCCCTAACCTGCTTACGCAGAAGGCAAAACAAACAAGCTCGCCTGCCACATTTAATCAAACGCAGCCGCACTGACGGCCCCTTTTTCACTACCAAGGGCACCTATGCAGTGGAACTCTTTGCAGGATTTGTTTAGATGAGGGACACCTTTCTAAGTAATGAGATCATATTACCTCTGTGCCTGTCTTTTAAAAAAAAAAAAAAAAGCTACACAAGGTATATTTTGGAGCGCAGTCACACTGCGATAAGGCTAACCTTGTCATTTAGAGAGTGCACAGAGCACAGTCACAGAACAATCCTGATGAATATTCAGGCCGAGTTCGACCAGTTTTCACGAGTTGACAGCGAATGAGAAGGACGCCATCAGCAGATACAGTAGAGCTGCGAACCATGCGTCCTATTCATAAACCACCTTTAATATTCCCAGTACGTCTCACTTTGCTCGCAGAGGCTCTGCAGTGAAATGTAAATGGAGTAGATAAGATGGATTTTCAGTGTCATTCCACTTTTCTAAAGAGCTTTGTATGTGATTCCCTTCCTCCAGTGGCAACGGCAGAGGCTGCATCTTGAACTAACCACTTATCACAAATTGCAAACCCTCGAGGCATTACGGCATCGGGAGGTGGTTGGGTGACTTTGTCCAGTGCTAAAGCGAAGGGAGATTAGCAGCTGAAAGTCACATTTTGATCGTTCGTGGAGGCTGTAACCGTTCGTTCAATGGCATTTGAATTTACAGGAGGGATAGTTGACTTGAGCCATGCTAATCCTCATGAACACATCACCCCAATGCAAGAAAACCAGCTCCTGAAGAAAACACTGAGGGAGGGAACAGCAAGGATTTCTATTTTCCCAGAATTAAATGTGATTTTTATGTGCACTGCAGCATAGAATTTTTTTTTTTGGAAAATGACAGAAGGTGACACTGCTATTATTTCAAAGCTGAATCCTCCTCCACACTCGTGTCCTTGATACTGTTAGAACAGAAACAGAATTATAGTCATTGATTTAGTCTGAATGAAAAGGATTTTCAGAGTTACTGGAGAAGATAAGAGCAGTTTCTGGGCCCTTCCAAAGATACCCACACCCTGATTGTTCTGGGAAACTCAAAGAGGTCTCATCCAGTGTTTGAGCTGCTGCCTGATAAGAATGGCTGTATTACATCTCTATCTATTTCCCACAGCATTTGAGCAATTTTTCACAGGCAAGATTAATGGCTTGTTCAGTTTCAGACAATTTAAAGTTGCGTGGAGGACCTCTCTGTGGAATTCTCACAGATTGAGTTTTATTTGCCGAGGAGATGTACAGTTTGACCGAATGCCATGAGTCAGCCGTACTTACTGTGCTCTCTTTCAAACAGTGACTTTGACCAAACTGTAGGTTCAGTTTACACATCAAAACTCCTGGAAATAATGACTGAACCATGTGAGGATATTATTATTTTGATTTTGAATTTTAATATTTTAATTTTGCCTGCTTCTTACTAAAATTGGACTTTACAACCCTTTTTATCTCCTGGGATTTTCATTTATTTTTCTTTTCCCACCACAGATATCCCATTCATCATTCTGTTTTTTCACACTGACATTCAACTCATATGCCATATTCATCTCCCATGCACCACAGTAACAGGCAGGAGAACAATGAAAAATGTTTTTTTTTGAAAAGGACCTTTTCATAAATATAAGCATCCTTGAATAAGGGGATTATGGGAGTCCTTGGCAATGTTTTGACTTGCCAATCTCTGTGTATCTTGTGGTTGTTCTGCAATTTCTCACAGCCATAATTGTCATGTATTAGTGAGACAGTTATGATTTTCTCAATAATTGCAGATTGCCACTACAGGTTATCAGAAATTCCAGCAATTCATTATTTTCCTTTTCTCTTCTTCCTTCTCTGTTTTTAGATCGAAATGTTAGAGCACAAATACGGTGGCCACCTAATCTCCCGCCGTGCTGCCTGCAAGATCCAGACTGCCTTCCGCCAGTACCAGCTCAGCAAGAACTTCGAGAAGATCCGCAATTCGCTACTGGAGAGTCGTCTGCCTCGACGCATCTCCCTGCGCAAGGTCCGCATGCAAAACACAGAGGGTTTCTCTGCTGAACGGGCCCTGGCAGAAGGCTACAACTTGACAGGCATCCCATTGGTGCGCTCGCCATCTCTGCCTGCCACAGTTGGTGGCTCCCTGACCGACCTGGAAGACTCATTCACTGAACAGGTCCAGTCACTGGCAAAGTCCATAGACGATGCACTCAGCAACTGGAGCCTGAAGACCATGTGCTCACTGCAAGAAGGCGGCACCTATCAGTTCGGTGCCGACTCCTTCAGTGCTGCTGCAGCAGCAGCAGGAGGAGGAGATGGAGGAGAAGGATGTGTTGAGGGAGAGTCAACGCTTCATCAAGGCCCACTGGACCCAAGTGACCTGTCGAGAAGCGCAAGCAAGCTGATGATGGCGTTCCGGGATGTGACGGTGCAGTTCGACAGCCAGAACTTCCGTGTTTCATCCTCAGTCATGGAATCGTCCACCGTCACCCTCGGCAGCTGCGTCCAACAAGAAGGAGCCTCCACGACTGTCACATCTACTTCCACAACGACAAACTCCTCTCCGATCTACATTTCTCATGGCCTCTCACAAGAACCCCCTCCTCCCCCTGCAGAACTCCCAGTCGAACCCATAGATCCACCACCGCCCCCACAAGAGCCCCCGCCACCCCTAGAATCAGAATTTGAAGAAGGCGAGCAGGATGTTGAGTTCCCTGCTCCTCCACCGAGTGAAGAAGAGCTGGGGGAGGAGGATCAGCCTCTCCTAACCCCTCTGGATAAGATGGCTGCTCCTCAAAGCCCAGAGGAAGTTGTGGTGGTGCTGCCACAACCCACAAAGCCCTCTCACGTCTTTCCACCGCTGCTGGGGAGCTCGCCCATGGCAGCGCCCCTGGAAGTCAAGAGGTGCAGCTCCGAGACTGCAGATAACAGCTCAGAGCAGATGAGCAGCAGCAGCACGTCCACAGAGGCACGCTCCACATCTGAAGCCTCGTCCAAGGAGGCACTGCAGGCCATGATCCTCAGCCTGCCACGCTACCACTGTGAGAACCCCGCCAGCTGTAAATCACCCACGCTGTCCACTGACGTCATGCGAAAGCGCCTCTACCGTATCGGCCTCAATCTCTTCAATGTGTGAGTAGCCACTGAATTTTGTTGTTCTTTTGTGTTTAGATGACGTAAAATCCGGCTGCGGTTTTATGGTATCACCTCTGAATCAATGTTATCTGGTAAGACATGATTTACTGCCCTAAAATCACAAAGAGATCACAAAGAGATTTAAAGTTGACAGAAAATCTGGTCATTTATTTATTTTTTTATCCTTTCTGCCTTGTTTCCAAAAAAATGGAAAGTATTTTAAAACTATCTTTTCACACACAAAGCCAGTCCGGACATTTTATGGTGTTTGGGGATAATTTGGGAGTATTCATACCAGTTTAAGAGTAACACCAGCTAATCAGAGTCTGGTAATGTGACTGTTCCTCTTGTGAGGTCTCGAATTTAAATGAAAATGTTCGTATACAGAGAGGCTAAATGAAAATATATATTCTGATTACCATTGGAAAGAAAAATGATAGGATATGTCGGAAGAGATAGAATACTGTACAGTGAGATTAATGAAACATTCTGTACCTCCACCCCTCCTCTCAGTATACCTGAAGTTTGATGTGGCTCTCTGGACTCGAAAGAGCAAAGAAAAGCACTTTTCCTCACAGATCCCCATTGTGCCGAAAGAACAAACAGAATGAAGCCCAAGTCCCAAGCTGGATCTGAGGTGTCTTCTTTCTTCTCAGAAAGACAAATCAAAACTGGGATGAATTATTGAGACACGGAGCTGTGTGGGGACTGATTTTTAAGAGAACAGGAGTGAAATGAAGGAAACAGACAAACCCAGACATGGTGGAACTGCCATTTGGATAAGATCCACACACCCCATAGATATTGTTGCTCTGCCTGTCAAGCTTTTTGTTCCAGCACATAATGCAGGGGATGCTGACAGTGGCAGATTCAAGTCCATTTGTGATGTTTGAAACAATTGGTCATTGATTTTAGATAAAGGCAGAAAGAATATCAGCTGTAGCTACATAGCTACTAAAGCTAAAAATGGTTCCATTGGTTGAACATTTTTTCTCCAGTGAACTTTTTATTGGTTTTTTTAATGTCTTAAAAAGAAGTGTTGAATATTGATGGTACATTGTCCTTGTATTGCTGTGTAGCGTAAAGTTGGTTATTTTGTTCTACCAATATATGCATAAATACTTACAGCTCCTTAGCTCACATACTTGTTCGTATTTTCAAGCAGGATATTTAAATGTCACAAGCGAAGAAGCTTTCAGTTTAGATTGAATAACAGATCAAAGTTTGCCTTAGATGCCAGGAACCCATAGCGATACAGGTAACTGTTGTATCCTACTAATAGGCCTACCCGACTCCCACTGCATTTTCCACTGTGGCTTCACAAATTGTCAGCAGAAGAAAAACATTTCTGTCTTGGAAAGCTTGTTTATGTTTGCAGCTTTTGAGCCATTGTGAATTCAGTTCTCCCCCGCTGCCAAATGAAGAGTGACAAAGTCAAAGCCAGATAAGAACTTCCCCAGGACGCGCTCCAGACAGAAGCAAGGTGGTTACATGGCAGCGAGAGATAGGTTAAAAAAAAACTGTTGCAATGGTGACGACAGTGCACGGCGGCCAGCGCTGACTAAATCTGTTGATTTGTTGAGAGAAACACTGACTCCTTGAACTCGCTCAGTTTTGTTGGAGAAAATGGTGAAACGCTCGGTGAATTATGACTCCAAGCTAGTTGTCGTGCCGTGATGTAAAAAATCATTACATATTCAGAGAAGCTCTAAAATATATATTTTTTACATATTACATAACGCATATGTTAATTTATGTTAACATTTACGTCATACAAAAGAACAAAATCGAAGATAGGTGCTGATTTTTTTTCCTTTTAGAAAGGTTTGTAACCATATGACTGTTTACAATGTCCGAAGCAGCCAACAGCACACTTGCAAGGAATCTTTAAATGAGGACATTTACCATATGCTCTATTAGGTCTTCACCCTAAAGCATACCCTAAAGGACCCAAACACCCCACATACAGTTTTCTAATAAATTAACTGATCTCACTCGGATCTATTTCAACCCAACCACCGATGGAGTTGCTGGGTAACAATTAGTCGGAATACATAAGGGGTGGATCCCAAAAAATAATGGCAACGAACCACAAATCCTAAAAATTCTCATTAGTCATTCTGCTGCGAGTCGTGAATGTAATTAAACGTTCCTTCAGCACTGTGTGAACCGGCATCTTGGGAACCGGAATGAAAAATGTGTTAACATTTCAAACCAAGTTTCTTTTGTCACTGCCACCTCAACCATTTCTGTCGAAGCTCTCCTTGCTTTCAACAGGAAAGACACTGCGTTCCCTTGGGTGCAAAACCACTACAAGATTTTGTTAGGATATTGCCCCAATTAAGCCATCTCACACAAATTTAGAAGATTGGAGCTCATGAACACCCATTATCTTTTTGCTCACTGCCAAGCTCTGCAGCGCAATAAAAGTGCACAATAAAGCCGATTAACTTTGACTCAATGCTTGAGCGTGACGCTGAAAACGAGAGGAGCAGGAACGAGCTGTGCAGTTACTGGAGAGGAAATAATCACCAGGGGAAATAAACAAAATACAGAAAATGAAAGAAAAACATGAAGGGCAAGGAGGGAGGTGGGTTCTGTAAAAACTGCAATAAAGTTATATTATTATGTTATTATTTCTAAAAGCAGATGACATCAGATATTAACTCATCTGTTTCGGACATGTCCTAAACTGCATAAAGAATTAGAGATTCATTCCCCTGTGCACATCAGCAGCACTCTCAAAATGCAGCACTCTCAAAATGCAAAATGTAAAACTACTGACAGAGGATAGAGTTATGGTTTGCCAACTGAAACAGCCGTGGTTTAAGTTTAGGTGATAATTTGAAAAAAAACGACAGAAATTCCAAATATTTTTTATCAGAATATCCTTGTGTCTAATGTAACACGGGTAGAAACAAAGGACATAAGGGTTGTCTGCTACCTTAATGACATTTCAACGTCAGTCTACTTAGCAAGTCTACTTACGAATTCCCTGTCAGATAGCATAAAGAAAAGATCACTTTGGCGCACTCTATTTTGACTATTAGTTTTCAAGACACGTCCACTTTGATAGTGTCACTCTAAATGGCAGCTGGAGAGGCACAGCACGTTTGGCTATAGCATTCATTTGTTTGTTCAGATTTTATCTGAACCATATCCTTAGAGGGGAAGTGAGGACTGTACATATTTGTTAATGACTGTTTAATGAAAACTCCCAGGTTCAGAAAATGACATGTGCCATCCCTTCTTCTCATTCCCCAAATCAAACACCTTGACAGATAAGCTGACTTTTAATAAATTGGCTACAAGGAGAGAGAGAGAGACAGAATGAGGAAGGAAGTGCTAAAGAAATAAGAGGAGAGAGAGAGATGGAGATAGGGACAGGGAGGGAGAGGGAGAGAGAGGGAGAGAGAGTGAGAGAGAGGGCATTCAAGCTTGAGGCTTATTAGTTCCACCAGTTCACATCCTCCCTCTAATACCTGCGCTGTTGTATCCTTTGCATCTTAAACAGTGGTGTTTGCTTTGGGCTAAAACTTGGGCATTGCTTGATCATGCAGACACACTATAGCTCACACATATGCACACATTTAGATAATGTAATGTGCGTGTGTGTGTGTGTGTTTGTCTGTGTAGGTGTGTGTTTGTCTTGCAGCAGGTGGTCAAGGAAACCTACGGGAGAAAGTAAATCAAAGAGAGGAAAAGTCTGAAGTTGTGCGTGTGTGTGTGTGTGTGCAGCAGCCTGCACAAGAATAAAATGACACAGGGGGTAATGGAAATGGAGTGCAAAAGCAAGAGAGAGGAACCGAAAGGGACACAAAAAGGTAGAGGGGGTGAAAGGTTGAGAGAGAGAGCGCTTGATAAAGTTTCCACCTTGAGAGTGTATGGAATAACAATGACTACATTGAAGTGTGTGTCAAGGACAACTGCCATCACACAAGGGAGCCGATAGAAAACCTTCAACATAGATGGGGAGGATGTGAGGAGGTGTGCCATAAATGACATATTCCTGAGTATATTGCTGTTTTTGTACGGATGGATATGTATGCAATAATAGACATGTAGTGAAAGCATTGACATAAGAGCAGCTCACGGGGGAATGACATCGACTCCCCATCATGCATGGAAGTAGAGCACCAGCAGAGCTTTATGAATTAAATAAAAGGTGGCATAAGAGATACGTGTGAAGAGAGTCAGAGAGACAGAAAGGCAGATCTGAATGCATATGTCAGGGAAGGCTCATTAAGATCAGCAGATCAGTGAAGTCTTCCCATCTCCTCGAGAGGGATACCCTGACGCCAGGAGGAGAGAGCTCTGTGGAAAACTATGTGCGGGTCTGTGCTTGTTTGTTTGTGCATACACTTACCTCGCCTGCATTAACATTCTGCCCTCGGTGCAGAATGACCCAGCACATAATTACAAACTCTGAAATCCAGATGGTGAACAGAGAAAACATTTCCCATTTATCTTCTGCAGTTGTTCTGCAGGTGGTACATGGTAAAATTGCCGAGTAGCTCAGCTGATTTGAAAAAAATTACAATTTCATCAAAATATATGTGGAGTCAGCTGTGACATTTCAACGCTATGTGTCGTGACCAAGCACCCAGGAAGAGCGCCGGGCCTTGAAGCAAATTTTCGTACCGGCCAAACCGTGGAATTACAACTTCTGGGTCTGTCAGCCTCCAAATATGTATCCATTCCCCGTCATACCTCCATGGTAACACAGGGCTAGCAAGGACAACAACTTCATGCTAAAGCTAAGGAATGAACAGCTCAAATAGTCATAGTTTTACAGGACACGCCTACAACAGGATATGCCCCTTGAAATTGTCGCAGTTGGTTAGTGTTAAGGAAACGATCGGGGTTAAGATGAATATGTTTATTCAGGGAGTTATCTCAAGGGGTGTGCTGTTTGTGTCGTGCAGCCTGCAGGGTTGATGTGACAGGGCTCCGGGCATACATAAGAGAGCAAGTACCCATCAGTGTAATGATTCAGAGTTTTGAAGTATTTACAGTCACAGCACACAATTGTGCATTTTTTACTCAGAAAAATGCACAGCGGCGCAAACCGGGCCATCAATCTATCACTGGTTAGAAACAAGAAATGTGTGCATCTGGAGGCATGGGCAACACACAGTGCTGACAGTTCAGCACTTGTAAAGGCCATAAAACACAGCTCTGAGGTATGGCCCCTGTGCACCTCTGAAATAGACCTAAAATAAAGGGCCAATAAAAGTGGAAGTTTGTATTTATGATGAGGGTGGGAGTCCAAGATGGAGAAAAAGAAGTGTGTGTGAGGAAGGAAGAGGTCTTTGAATGGAGTAGTTTATTTGAGATTTGTCACTTTAGCGTGACATCTGGGGTCCTGTGTCTCTTGCATTCACTCCTCTGTTGTGTGCATGTGTCTCATCATGTTGCACTGTTGCTCCCTTACTTCAATGTTTTCTGATGTACCACATATGACAAAGGTTTTGTGAACATTAGGAGACTATTTGGTTAAGGTTGTTAAGGCGATCCATGTCGTTGAAAATGTAAACATGACTGTTTTCAGCATTTGGACAATCAACCAGGGCTAATGATTGTCCGATGAGGACGGTCTCTTTCTGCATCACTTATAAGAATCCATCAATCCGGCATCATCTCCTCCCTTTCCTTCCCTATCTTCACCCCCACATCCGAATAATAATCACCATGTGCGATCCATCTGTTGTTGGGCAAACATCAAATGAGTGATATCTGCCAAATTCGTTTGGCGAGACATCACCTTCGGCTGAGAGGGCAAGCCAGAAACAGAGTGTGTGCTGAGGCTGTCGCAGCAGATGCTTTGAGGCAGTCCAGCCTCACTCATCATCGCACCCCCCCCCCCCACCCCCCCCCCCCCCCCCCC